CAGCCTTCAGAAGGGCTGTGCTCCCGATGGGGAACCCGGGCACTCTCCTGAGCTGCGCCAAGAGATCAGGAGGTACCAAACCAAGGGCACCGAGAACAATGGGGAGCCTGACGACAGTGTAATTGGGATGCAAGCGAGACATTTCAAAGGCGAGGTCCGCATATTTAGTATGCTTCCTGAATCTTGCCAATCACATTGGTGTCGAAAGGGACAGAAAATTCAATGACATATAAAAATTCATTGGCTTAATAAAAAAGGACAAGATCAGATTTTTTGGCTGGAATTGTTCTGAGGTTGTATATCTGCCTATTCCAGTGAAGTTTGAAAGCATCATTTTCCATGACGCCCTGGACATGTTCAGGGTCGTACCATGGATGGACCTCGGAGTCAAAGCCACAGGCATGGCGGAGACTGTAATAAAAGCAACGAGCCATGCCATCATGTCGTTTAAGATATGATGTTTGTGCCAAGGAAGGGCATCCACTGACAAGGTGTTTGACAGTCTCTGTGAATTCATTGCAAAGTCAACATTTCATGTAAATATTCTCTTTAAGAATCACATTTAGACGATTGCGAGTGGGAAATGACTGGTCCTGAGCAGCAAAAAGGAAGCCCTCAGTTTCACATTTGAGACCAGCCGACTTCATCCAGGCGAAGGAGTCAGTGAGATTGCTATTCTGTTCCACACACTGCATGTACACACGATGCAATGGTTTCTCAGAAAGCTTCTCCACAAAAGACCGACTCTGGGCAGACTTGGTGAAGGACTTCACCTGGTTTACTCCCATCGCTGTACCGTCCAGCAGTACATCGCCATCAGCAAAGTCAACTTCAAATTTCAGATTCTGTCCATATTATTTTTATGTATTATTCCGCCGATATTTGAACCAACATACCTCCTAAACCAATGCCCTGGCTTTAAAAAAATCACACAGATGCCCACTGAGGTGAAGATGAATTAAAAATCTCTAGGCTCTAGGCCCAATAGCAAAGGGGAGATAATTCAAAATGAATTCCAAAAGTTCAAAGTTTGACCCCTAATATCACAAGAACTAATTGTTCCAACACTTCCAAATCTCTTGTACAGATGCACAATCCAATTCCCAACAATTATGCATGGACGAGTCAAGTCGCTAAAGTGTACCGTTTAGCAGTTATTTTTGTTTTCAGTTTTTAGCCATGTTTTTCAGCAGTTTTCTGAGTAGTTGCTCCAAAAATGTGCTGAGCTCGAACCATCAGCTCTAGACATTCGAAACTGTCTATAACTGATGTCCAGTAACCATTGTACAAATTCTGCACAAAAAGTGCCAGTATGATAGATGAAGTCTTGGTGATTCCAGAACACTAATTGACCGTTGACCCAAGAACAACTGAGATACAGCCTTTTAAAGAGGGAACTATTTCTTCTCCAGAACTTCTTAAAAGGTACATGAACCCGCGACTCCGACTGTACTTGGAAGATCCGCTCGCCTGTCAAAAACGTGATCTGGCTCCGTTTCGGATGATTTCCTCAAATACAATTCAAACACCCGTAACTCTGAAACCAACCGTCCCATTTCGACTAAACTGTACCTGTACAAGTGGGCTATTAGTGTCGATTATAACTACCGATTGCAGTAATGTATCTCCAAAGACAACAGAGGGACAAGTGATATTATATATTCCTCACTTTAGTTGCTATATTCATCGGTTCTCTAGAGAACACAATGAAAGTTAGCCGTATGTATCTCAAACGTTCTTCTGTTTTGAGATTCATGATACCCAAGTGATATTTTTTAATCTAAGAAAAAATGTTTTGTGATGAATTTATCGAAACTTAAAGACCTTCCAGTACTTCCAGTACTTCGAAGAGCTTTTGACTAGCAGTGATATGATTCATATTAACTAAAACTATTACTACTTTTATCAGATATGTGACAGACACAATAGGCTAGATAGAACTAAAGCCAAGGAGCCCTCATCGTTGCTTGCATGTATATTTTCGTTATGTTTTGTTCACCGTGAACCAAACTATTCCAGTACAAATTCCCCCATTGTTTTGGAAGTTTCACAATTTATAAGAAAAGATGACAATGTACTACATGAGAAAGCATGTAAGAGCGATTTGGATGGCCCTATCCGATACGTAAATTAGTTTTTAAATTCACATATTCCCCTGTTTGTGTCGATGTATTTTGACTAATTTTGCATCATTATTAACCGAATAATAGCCACATCTTCAAATGTAATGAAATTACTGATTAGATTACAACACTGTAGTTGACGTACGCGTCATTGCTTGTTTTATGTAATTTGCGACGTCGGAAAAGACGAGTTTGGTATGCTGATTAGTATTATATTAGTATCACCTAATTTCCATGAATTGTATAAAAAAGTTTTGGTTTCTATGTCAGAATTTAACCTTCTTTTGACAGAACATAAAATGACTGATTTTACCATATAAAATAATGTCCTGAATAGATCCATTGAACAATACGCGCACCTGAATCAATTTAACGTAAATGAAAAAGAATATTTCACAACACCTGAATATATACTCAGCAGCAAAAAAATGTCAGTACGAATTCAAAAGAAGATAGGCACTGTAATCAAATCATTACAGAAATGGACATAATAAGTGGATCAAAAACTTTTTTTGTGTACAATATCCTGACACATCAAAGAATAACTCAGCACAATTCCAAGACATTACTTGAACGTTTGCAGTCCATTCAGACTCTTGACTTCAGTATCTAGTGTGACCACCACGAGCAGCAATAACTGCAGCACAGGTCTATGCATGGAGTGCACCAATTGACTGATGAAGGCCATTGGCACCAGGAACCCCACTCTGAGAAAGGTCTGGCGCAATAAATCGGCTGTGTTCGGCCTTGGTATGACTCATCTGAATTTCATCCCAAAGATGTTTAATTGGTTTTAAATCAGGACTAAAGGGCTGGCCACTGCGTAATGTTGACACCGTTCTGCTGTAGGAAGTCCCGTGAAGCTCTGGCAGTATGGGACCCGGGTGTTATCATGTTGGAAAATGTTGTTCCGGTGACGTGCGAAATGTGGTATGATGTTGGGTCTGAGAGCTTGGTCGGTGTAGCTCACCGCTGTGATGCCGCCTCCTCTCCCTGGACCAAGGTTCTGGAACACAGGACCCACTCTCTGGTTCAGGCCTATTCCACCCCATACCAGGATGCTTGCACACATTGGTCTGAGTAACGCTGGCCACGTCGTCACCATGTTCTTGTTCTGCCATCTGCAGTTGATACGCAGTACCGACTCTCATCTGTGAACAGAACAGTTCTCCATTGCCTGTATCGCCAGTTTTGGTGTTGGAGGGCAAACTATAGGCATTCACGCTGGTGAAGAGGGGTGAGATTAGGTCCAAGGTAAGGTCTACGGCAACGGAGGTTCCCACTGTTAAGACGTCGGCGTTACTTTATTAGTACTGATTTGTCTTCCGTGTGTTCCCACTGTCTGGCATGCTGTTTCGGATGCCTGCATGAAGGGATTCTGTACATGTGGTCGCACAACATGGCGGTCTTGTCGTCTTGTGGTCACCCTTGGTCTGCCAGTACGGGTGCAATCATTTGTGGTGTTGGTGGCCCGGAAACGTTGCTGCAACCTGTTGATGGTCCGAATGTTGACCTGGAAGTGATTGGCAACGGCTTGTGCAGTGTGGCCAGCTTCAGCTCTTCCTAGCGCCTGGTTCATCTGAGCTGTGTGAGTCACGGCATCTTGCTAAAGTTGTAATGTGAATGTTTCAACCAGGTTGGGGGTGCATTTTATAGGGCTGGTCCTTGTGAACAGCATGTGCATCATGAGTTGCATGAAAAAACATGGAGAACACCGTACCATCTCCGAGATCAGGTTGCGTTTTTGAGACCATTTCCTGGGTTCCATTCCGAGTTTGGGACGGAGTGTCTTTGCTCAGGTAAAGTTGTTGTCAAAAATATACAATGAAAACATTAAATGAGTTTACAGTTATCTGTTTCTGCGAAGGAAAATTCCAAACTGACGTTTCTTTTGCTGCTTAGTATATGTAACAACAATGTTAACGTATGACATCACTACCGTTGACCGATTGGCTTCGCTGACATGGGTACACAGGATTTTTCGAGGACCTTTCCCTTGATTGGGGGATTGTTTGTACATATGTAAGTAATCAGAATGAATCTGACTATCTGTGTATTGTTAGGTGTTTTATCGTTTTCATTGTAAGTAAGAGAAGAAGCCAGATATGCCGATCATTACCGCTGTAGTTCTGCGAGATTTTCCATCAGTCACATCCTCGATAATCTCCAGGGTATACGTTCAGATAAATCTCCACTATTCCCTGGATGCATCTACAGCTCGAGCCGATGATTTTATTACCTCCCTTGGTTGGCTTTTTATCCAATCAGGTGTCTACACTGGGAAGTTGAGCGTACCAATCACAACTCACTTTCGCTTTTTAAATTATCTAACCGATTAAACTTGGCAACATCATAATATATTGTTGTAGAGGTTCTCTGAAAGAGGTAGAAGGAGTTCTTGCATATATATTTTTAGATTTCATACCTGTCAATATGTCTGTATGTTTTCCCCAAATCTGAGTCGCTACTGCACACAAAAACTCTCGCGAGCTGCAACCGCTATCTTTGTTGACACTGGCAAGCTTGGTTGTAACGGCAGCTCATCTGATTGGCTACTGTGAGAATGCGAAGCCAGCAAAGGGAGGTAATAATATCATCGGCTCAAAGCGTAGATGCATCCAGGGTATAGTGTGTCATGTATTGTATTGAAGCGCTCATAAAATATGACACCTCTAACATGAGTGTCTACCCTTGATGCTTGTCAGTCGTACATACATTACATGGTGTCAGAAATCCGATTCCACAGCCAACATCCGTCACAAATATGTGATATAAGCCACAGAAAGACATTGATTATGACGAATTTATAACGGTAGAAAATTTTCAAGGCAAAAACGGTGAGATGGCTAATTTAGTTGGATCAGTACCCTCGATGAATTGGGATAGTGGTGAATTACCTCGCTCTTGGAAGAAGTTTCGTTCTCACGTGGATTTCATGTTCGGCGGTCCACTGAAAGGTAAAACAGAAGCAGAAAAGTGTAATTTCTTAATGCTCTGGTCGGGACAACGAGGTAGGAACATCTACGACACATGGGATTTGAATGAAGACGACAAAAAGAAGTTGGAAGTACACTACACAAAGTTTGGAAACTATGTAAAACCAAAATCAAATCGGCTATTTTCAAGATACAAATTCCAGTGCAGAACTCAGAATCAGTCAGAAAAAATTGTGCAGTTTGTCACAGACTTGAAAACTCTTGTGAAGGACTGTTTATACACTGATCCAGAGGAGATGGTGCGAGATAGAATTGTCTTTGGAACCAATTCACCTAAAGTGCGTGAAAAGTTAATTAATAAAGGTTCTGAAATTACACTGGAGAAGGCAATAGAAATTGCAAGTACACATGAGCTTTCTCAAGAACAACTAAAAATGATGAACAGTGAAGATGCAAACGTTAATGTCCTTCGTCAATATCAGAACAGAAAAGACAACACAAGGCAGAGAGCATCCAGTACAGCTGCAGATAAACAACCTCAAAGGAGGAATGTGTGTGGTAAATGTGGATATGAACATAATAGGAAGCAAGTGTGTCCAGCTAAAGGCAAACAGTGCACAGAACAGCAATAGACACAGACTGTGATGAGTGGCAAGACAACTTTAGAGTGTTCGACAAAACAATTAGCTTCGAGTTGGACACTGGAGCCAAATGCAACGTTATTTCCACAGAAACACTGAATAGCCTTGGCATAAAAACGGCTATAGAAAAGTCAAACACAAGACTGCGGTCCTATTGTGGAAATCTTTTGAAGGTAGTGGGAGCTGTATTACTGCCACTAGACTACAATGGGGAAAGTTACAATGTGAAATTCCAGGTTGTCAATGGGAAACATGCATAATTAATCGGATCGAAAACATGCAGAGAAATGGGACTTGTGACAAGGGTTAACCACGCAGTGGTGGAACAAATTGGTACCATACCTGAAGATGTTCTTCAAGAACACCCTACATTGTTCAAAGGTCTAGGTTTCTTCGCTGGAGAATACACAATCAAGGTTGATCCGGCGATTCCACCAGTGGTTCATCCTCCAAGAACTGTTCAAGTTGCCCTGAAAAAGCAAATGAAAGAAGAATTGGACAGAATGCAACAACTCGGAGTCATAGTGAAGCAAGGAGAACCTACACAGTGGGTCAATAGTATGGTTACAATCATCAAGCCTAACAAGATTAGGATCTGCATTGATCTTAAGGACAGAGCTCCAGATAAGATTTAGCTCATGTGGGTACTGTACCCACTGTATTTTGTTGGAGTGGGTATTATGAATGTTGAGTGGGTATTTCATTTTCCGTTACCCATTGTTTTGAAATATGTGCGTATTTCAGTCATTTTACTCACCTAAGTATTATGTCATTGAGTAAAGTTACTAAGCAGGTATGTTCTGCCTTATGTCATACCTAATCAAAACCAACTTAAATATAATGGAAATGATTTCATAAAAAATCACTCATCCTATACTGACAGTACAACACTTGTCCTATACTAACAGTACAACTTGATAGCAATCGATGTCTTTTTCATTACGCTAGCGATTTTTATAAATATATCCGCTACGCATTTGTTTTAAACTTTTTGTGTATATAACATTTTAAATGCATAATTGGTACGCAACAATTATTTTTCAATGCGTAATTGGAAATTTTCTATGCGTATTTTACCCGGATACGCTGCTTATCTGGGCCTCTGAAAGGATCTCAACAGAGCTATACTCAGAGAACATTTTCCATTGAAAACTATTGAGGAAGTGATCTCAAACATGCCAGATGCTAAAGTATTCACTAAGCTGGATGTGACATCTGGGTTTTGGCATGTCAAGTTAAGTGAGGATAGCTCAAAACTGTGCACATTTAATACCCCTTTCGGGAGGTATCAGTTTACAAGGCTGCCATTTGGGATAAAAAGTGCACCTGAAGTGTTCCAGAAAGTTATGTCGGAGATGGTTCAAGACATCAACAATGCTGAAGTCATCATAGATGACATTCTAATATGGGGACGTACAAAAGAGGAGCATGTTGAAGTCCTGAAGTGTGTTCTTGATCGTACTGAAACATACAAGGTGAAATTGAGTGCAACCAAATGTGAGTTCCGAAAGTCAGAGGTCACATATGCAGGACACTTGTTGACCAGTCAAGGTGTTCTCCCAGATCCTGAGAAAGTCCGGGCAATAGATGAAATGTCAAGACCACAGAACAAAGCTGAAGTGCAGACATTCTTAAAAACATGTCCGAAGTAAGTGCTCCGCTTCGACAGTTACTTGAAAAAAATACAGAGTGGCATTGGGAACAACCTCAAGAAAAGTGTTTCCAGAAGCTGAAAGAACTGGTGACAAACACTCCATTTCTCAGTTACTACGATGAGAAACAACCTGTTGTCTTGAATGTAGATGCAAGCTCTAAAGGGCTTGGTGAGGTTCTACTCCAGAACAACAAACCAGTGGCATATGGGTCCAGAGCTCTAACTCAGTCTCAGCAATCATATGCGCAGATTGAGAAAGAAACATTGGCAAAGGTGTTCGGTTGCAAAAAATTCCATCACTATGTGTTTGGACGACACATCATTATAGAAACAGACCATAAACCTCTGGAGTCTATCTTTAAAAAAACACTGCTAGATGCCCCAGCTCAGCTTCAGCAATTCCTCATGGCCTTACAGAAATATGACATTGAATTAAAATACAAGCCTGGAAAAGAAATGGTATCAGATGCATTAAGCAGATTGTATTTGAATGAGACCTCAGAGCCTCTAGTGCCTGAAATAGACATTAACGCTGTCAATCTGCTGGCATACTTACCTGTTTCTGAAGAAAAACAGTCACAACTCAAACAAGCAACTAAAGAAGACACTGTGCTTCAAAATCTCCAGAATGTGGTGTTCCCAGGCTGGCCAAACGCCAAACAAAGTCTACCTGAAGGACTAGGTGAGAAGAGAAATGTTGGATAAAATACATGAACCACACATGGGATTAGTCAAGAGCAAGGCTAGGGCCCGTGATGTATTGTATTGGCCTGGGATGTCTTCACAAATAGAAGAAATGGTGTCTAAATGTGACAAATGTGCCCTGCATCAAAATTCTAATGCTAAAGAACCTATGATCACACCAGACTTACCAGAAAGGCCTTGGTCGAAAGTGGCTACCGATCTCTTTGAATTGAAAGGAGAACATTATCTTCTTACTCTGGATTACTTCTCTAAATTGCCTGAAGTGGTAAAGTTGGATAACTTGGAAAGTGGAAATGTGATCTCATACATGAAAAAACAAATATCCAAATATGGTGTTCCGGATGAAGTGGTCAGTGACAATGGACCCCAGTACTCCAGTTCGGATTTCCATCAGTTCAGCAAGAAGTATGGTTTTACACACACTACCAGTAGTCCATACTACCCCGTGGAAATGCACAGGCGGAAACAGCAGAACAGACTGTGAAAAATCTGATTAAAACGGCCAGTGATCCAAATCTAGCCTTACTTGGCTATAGAAACACTCCTATAGAAGAAATCTGCTTATCACCTGCACAGATGTTCTTAGGACGTAGCTTGAAAACTACTCTACCGACTGCAGCACCACTCTTGAAACCTGAATTTGCAACTGATGTCAGAGAGAAACTCCAACAGAAACAACAGAAAGAGAAATTCTATTATGACAATAGGTGTAAGGAGTTACCTCCCTTGACTCCCTTGGGTTCGAAAAGTGGGTTCCAGCAATGGTGAAAGCAAAGCATTCTTCTCCCAGATCTTACATAGTTGAGACAGCAAGTAATAAACAGTTCAGAAGGAATAGGTCACAGTGCACGTTGACCAAAGCTTTTACAAATGGTTATTCTCAAATGGATAAACAAACTACTCAGAACATCAGGCCAAGTGCCTTACAACATCAACAACATGACGTTACAACAACGGTGATGACACATGACCACAACAACCAGACCGAGTTGAAGGTGAAACCTGCCAACGATGAACCTGTTACTGTCACCAGGTCCGGTCGCACAGTCAAGCCACCACAGACATTCAGTGATGTTAATTCATAAATTAGGTATATTTTCAAGTCATCCTAAACAAGTGACTCTAACCAAGTACTATGAATTTTATAGTTTATTTGAAAAGGGAGATGTCATGTATTGTATTGAAGCGCTCATAAAATATGACACCTCTAATATGAGTGTTGATGTAAGCGGAATGTGGAGCTTGTGTCGCTTAAGAGCTAATAAAAACAAATTCCGGTCTACCCTCTATGCTTGTCAGTCGTACATACATTACATAGTGGAGAGTTATCATAACGTATACCCTGGAGATTATCGAAGATGGGCGTCACGCTGCACAGAAACTTTGACAATTTCGTATAAACATATCACATATTACTGTATTGTACCTTTTATTAATTTGCTATTGCTTGCTACGATACTATTTCCATGTACAATATGTTCTAAAAGTATTGAGCCTATGCATGCTACGAATGGACGAATGGGTGTCTGAAATTTGAGAAAATGCTATATAGTTTAAAGTCTGAATTTTTCTTTTTTTACATTCGAACAAGTGTTGTCTTTCGCTCACAGCGTTCGTTTTCATGCCCAATATCTTTCGTTTCACATCTCCTTGACACTTGGTTTTAGTGACAAAGACCATTTCTTATTTGATACTAAAATTTATGAGGAATTCAGTAATGCATTTGTCGCAGTTGAATGTAATATGCGTCTAAATACCGGCCTTCACGAAACATCATTCTAAAATTGTCACGGTAACTGTCTTAGTCTTAATCTTAGCTAAGATTTTGCTCAGAGAGTTTCATAATCCAGTCTTATCTATAATCTTAGCTAAGCAAATATTTTAGACTTAAGATTTTTTCGTGCTAAGCAAATCTTAGACTTAAGATTTTTTCATGATCCCGGGGCCAGGTAACAATTCCTCTAGGTCAAATGTTAATCATATCACTCCTTTACACCATCGCCAGAAAAAGTAGTCCCCTTTTCACACTTCAAGACGTTTATTATGTGCACACTGACTAAATCTCACAATGATGAATAAATCACAGTATTATAGCTAAAATGGACGGAATTATTGTTATAGTGACTAATTCAGGACAACCACCGTCCACTGAACCACTCTGTCTTTGTCATTAATTATGAGCGGACCGCTGCAAATGATAATGGCCCGCTGATTCCTCAACTACTGGCCATATTACCAGTCTGTTGTCAAATGAGCAGGTGACGCATCATGATGACGTCATAAATCTTGTTTCATGATCTTACAGTGTTGGGTCAACAGACCGTTGCGAGTAAGTTGTTTGAACTTACAATCCCATTTATTATGCTGTTTTGTCTTTTTTAACCCCCAGGGTGCCACAGGGATATATGTCCTTCCATGGGCGTAGCTAACATAATATAATAAAGCCCAGGCTAACACATGGTTGTTGCTAAAAAGGCTTGGCAAGCCCTCAATAGGGCCCATAAGTCTCGCGAGGCGCTACTTCCGCTACTAGATTTCCAGTAACAAGCAAAAAATACTCAAGAACCAGTTGTGGTGCCAAATTGCGCGACCGACAAATATCACCTTACTAGACCGGACCAAGTGTACTCCCATGCTTGGCTGTCATTTTGGATCATTTTTGGACAATAAGATCGAAAAAGATCGAAAAATTATTATTCCTTCAAGGATTATCGGTTCCTTAACGACAACTGACCACCATGAGTCAATTCGAAAACATATGAGTACCTTTCTTTAGCTATAATATATTTTTGACAACCAGTGCAGTTCTATCGCTGAACGTGTTTCTTTTCAGTATATGGCGGACAGTGTTTGTCAGAAAATATATTTCGGGAATCAATGACATGGTTTATTGAATTAATAAAAGTATTAATTAATATACTGCTATTCATAAAAGAGTCATGTGTTACCAACTTTATCCAGTTGAGGTTCTATTCATATTTGGGCACATTGACTCTGTCATTTCCATTTTCAATTAAAGTATGTAATTTCCAAATTAGAATATTTTGTTTGTTTAATTTGTTATTTATTTTCTAAATACATTTGTTATGCTGCAGCAATATTTTCAGTAACTATTCCAAATTAAAACTATTTTATACATATCAATATTTATATTTGTTAGGAACTATTCAACAGATATAATCAATGGAGACAATTGGCTTTATGCAATGTAAAATGCATGTGTAAACTAGTTGGTAGGCTTAACATACAATTTTACTCTCTTCCAAGTCTAAGGGATGACTGTATGCAAGTTCAGGTGACAGAATGACTCAAAGATACGAGAAATAAATTGTTTGTTGCTTTGCAAATGTGAAAGAAAATGCATTATAAATTTTATTTTGGATAGATGACAGGGATCTGCATGTGTCAAATTGTTTCTTTGCCATGCTGTAAATATATTGATAATGATATTTTGAATAAATAGCAGTTCTGGTAACATTATTTTTATTTTTTTATAAATATATGAACTTTCCCATGTATGGTGATGTTTTTATTCACACAAGAAGTCATAGTGTCACAAATCAATCAACAGCTCGACAAATAACCTCTATGGCATGGTTACAAATATTAATTATTTCGGTTACTACTGTCAGATATTCAAAACAAAAATGTGAAAACCTTCAGCCATATGAATATTCATCATGAAACAATTATTTATCAAATTATGTAAACATTATTTTAGTGGAGTGATATATAAAAAATGTTTGTTGGACAATATTAATTACACTTTGTACTAGATGTCTTGGATGTTGTGAATTATGTACTATGATCTACAGTACATGTGTGTTACTTAGTTCTTGATTATGCAGGGGTGAGGTTCTGCGGTGCTGTAAGCAAAATATGAAGCAGCACACAGCACCTTCAAGTCACAATTGGCAAAAATGCAAGACCAAATATACTCAAATATGGAGTAATCACTCAAAGACATTTCCTGTATTGTAAAATATACTGACCAATACATGGGGAAACTAAATGTGCATATATACTATGTCTTTACTGTAGATTCTGCAGACACTGGCTAATAGCAGCATGAGTATGATTACTTGTCATGAAATAGTGTTTTTCACCAATTCTTAGTAACTTATATATTCCAAATATTCTGCCAATGAGGCCAAGGTTGGTAATTGACATTCCATATTTTCCACTATACACCTAGACCAATATGTTTTAAAAAAATGGAAAAGAATAATGAGTACTGGTTATTGTGCTATGAACCAGTGTTGTAATCTTACAGCAAATAAAAACAAAGAATTTCATATTTCAACAAAAACTCCATATCATGTAGAAATACATGCCTATGCCATTGATTAAGTTTAATTTTCATTGGTAAGCATGTTTGTTCATGGAAACTGGGGTAGTAGAGTAACCTAGTGGTTAAACTGTTGACTTGTCACACTGAAGGCACGGGTTCAATTCCTCACAAAGGTGCAAAGTGTGAAGCCCATTTTTGCTCTCCCCAGCATGATGTTGCTGGAATATTGCTAAAGGCAGCGTAAAACCCAACTCTCTCACCTGAAAACCTTTGTTATATACACTGAAAATCTAATCTCATACATTCATCATTATATATTTAATGTCAAATCAATATCATGGCTAAAAGCAGAAATCTTCCAAACCATTCAATTTGTGCTTGCTTTATCCACACTTAAAAAACAATAAACAAGTTTTAGAACTATTCTACAATTTTATTCCAAAGCAAAAATTACTCATTACATATCAAACATTCTTTGCATTTCCCAGATGCTAAACCTGAAAAAATACTGTAACAGTATGAACTGGAATATTTTCATGGTCACTCATCTAAATTCTCACTGAATTATCCGAGAGTCCCAAGATGTCACAAGAAGTTCCACAACACCTTGCTGATGACAAGCATTTCCTGTTCAAGCAAGTGTCCAAAGGATGATGTGTAGGACTTTAATATGTTTTATAACTGAATATACAACACTTCAGTGACTTGCTGTTTCTTCTTTGGCAATGTATTGCTTGAACACCAGATGTTAAAAGAAATCTGAAGATCTGTTTCAGTTTGTGTTGCTCTTGATGTCAATGGTAATTGTGGTGATCTATTCCTCCTTCTTTCTCCTCTTAAAGATGTGCATCTGTTGCAACTGAAAAAAATACATAACACATGTGAGACCAAGTATGATATACTTAAAAAATGTAAACAGCTCCTTACAATGTTCACATCAAGATATTATTGATAAATTAAACATGTGGATGTTATGTTTACCTGAACATGCTGCACCATAAACAAATGCTAAATGGGTTTGTAATAATCAGGCTCATATTACAGAATACATACCTATTCAGAGCTATTGGCTTCAATCAAAGTGTGGATATAATCATCATTGTTTACACGCTATTAAATTAGTATTTAATTCATTACATTTATTTTTTTAGAATTACACTTGGAATTTCACTGCGCATAAAGTTATCTCCTGGATAATTCCAACTGCAAGATACTTTATTTACGAAAACAGTTCCTGATAAAATGTTTTATGCACAACTTTACAAATATTGACCCAAAAAAATTTTTTGTGAGATTCCAAAATAACTTTGAAAATTTTATTATATATTGTATATTTATATACATCCTATCTCACGGTATGCACCTCTCCTCTTCTTCTACGACCATGTGTGGAAACGTGCTGTAGGCTAAGTTGAATCAAATCTTACTGGCCTCTGCCCCCACTCCCACATTAGCACCTGTCAATCACTCTGTAAGCGTGGAGCTCGCTCAGATGATCATGTGACTACCTGTGCCTGTCATTCTCGTCTTGGAGCTTCCAGTAATCTGTGATGTGAGGCAGGTCGGGTGGGTCCTATCACGTGAGATAGGATAAGTATATAAATATACAATTTATAATAAAATTTCAAATTTTTAAACTTATCCTATCTCACGGTATGCAAATCTGGTATCCTACCCTCTCACGGTATAGTGGTTAAAGCGCACGCCAATCCCCGGGTTCGATTCCCCACATGGGCTGGTGTCCCCCGCGTGATATTGCTGGAATATTGATAAAAGCGGAGTAAAACTAAACTCAGTCAGTCAGTCAGTACTACCACCAGGACAAAACGCATAACCCAAGGAGGCCAGGAGAAAGCACCAACTCCTGATATGCAAACTCCAACTTGAGATGGGTTTGTTCACGTAACCCCTTGGCTTACACAGTACAAAAACTCTAGGGAGTGGGCGCTCCCGAATTAATGTGGTTTTCGGCCACAACCTTTGACAAGCAAAAGGACGCAGTTTGGCAAGTAGGCCCTGCCGCCCCACGATTTATCAGGTGACCCCAGTGAATTAATCTGGCCAGTCCCTGCTTCGAAACTACCCCCAACAGACACATGCTGGAAGGCGGTGAAAGAGGGAATAGTTCGGTTGCTCAACTAGTTTAATGTTCAGTACCAATCTCCCTAACTTACCAAAGGTGAGAAAGGACTCAGGAGCAGAACGCTTCGAAAACCATGTAGGTAATCGGAAATCAACACTTCACTGACGTAATTGCTCAGGGAGTAGAGGTCAGTAAGCGGAGTGTCGATCCTCTTTGCATGTAGCACAAAACTGGCCTCACAGTCTATCAAGTCATAACTTATGACAGTGCAGACACTATTCCCATAGGTGAGAATGATCTAAGCCCAAGAGAAAATAGTACCAAGATATGGATTACATCGATATCTTATATTAGGTACAGAGCAAAACCGACCAAGGAAGGATTGCTTTATCTGCGAACACGGGCCGATGACAATTGCTGCGCCAGGACCAAGGGGCCAAATTGATGTAGACCTTCCACCTCTGTAACCGATAGGTCCCTCAGGTAGTGTGAAGCAAACACCGTATCGGATCTCCAAAAACAGCCCTCCATGATATTCTGCAGGGAACAATTTCTGTGAAGAGCCATGGTGGAGTCTCATGAGGCTTCGCTGTCGACGGTGGAGGTAGGTCAGCAAAGGCAGAAGCAAGCAGGATCGTAGTTCGCATCCAAAATGCCAAGGTAGTACGGGAGACTTCCGAGGTGGAGGCAGTAGACAATGGAATGAACAATCTCTTACACAGTCTGCGGCGATCCTGGGAGGCAGCTAGGTATATCCTTAATACACGCACTGGGCATAAGGACAGATTCTCAGTGACATCTGGGCCCAAGATAGTGGACAACGGCGGAATCGTGAATGTGCGATCCGGCTGTCCTGGTAACTGATTCTTGGCGAGAAAATCCCACCGCAAACCAAGGAAAACTCTCGCATGTCTAGACCTTTCAAACATCAAGAGCATGCAACTTGGAAAAACGGGCAGCTGTAGCCAAGGCCAAGAGAAAGAAGGTCTTAAAGGAGACATGTTCGAAATCTTTCTCCTCCAAAGGTTCATAATCAGCTGACGAGAGATGAGCAAGTACAACGGAATGATCCTCCTAAGCTCGAGGCTGGAACTTCCGAGATTGGACAGCAAGTTTGTAAGACCGGAGGTGAGACTAGTTCAGGGACAGTGGACAGCTTCACACCTGAGGCCGCTGCAATAACCGTGTTAAGAGCAGCCAGGTAGGTAGATAGTGTAGAACCTTTGAGTTTTCTGGAGGTTCGGAGATGCTGAAGGTACTCTGCCACCATCTGCAGGGAGGCCGTAGTGGGGGATGATACACCCTTCTTCCTGCAATACGCTTCAACATTCTTCCATTTGTCATCGTAGAGTGATCTCGTAGAAGTACGATGCGCTGTAGTAATGGCAGTAGCCACCCGTTTAGAATAGCCCTTCGCCGTTAACGACTGATGTAGATGCTCCAAGCGTGCAGATGGAGCGTCAATGGGGACCAATGTAGCTGGTCGGAGTGAGGATGTACCAGGAGATCGGGTCGAATGGGAAGTGGCACGGGATTTGGTTTGGCTAGGTCTTGAAGGTTTACGAACCAACTTCTGGCCGGCCAATAGGGCGCGACCAAAAGCAGAGTCATCCCCTGAGTTGCGCACAGTTTCACTAATATGCAAGGAAGAAGGGCCACTGGCGGAAATGCTTAAATGTTCAGGTCCTCCCACGGAATGGCTAGAGCATCGAGGTCCCAAGCCAGAGGGTCCGGAATCGGTGACACAAACCGAGGCAGCTGATGGTTGAATCGTGTGGCAAGGAGATCTACTGTCGGAGTCGTCAACAGAAGGCAAAAGGTCTGGAACACCTGAGGATGTAATTTCCATTCCGTTGGAGAGGGACGACTCGGTCGGGACAGAGAATCGGCGATGACATTCTTCGCGCCCGGAATGTGGTTGGCTCGTACCAAGATGTGGAGAGACCGTTGGGTCCACTGCAGCAGTTGAGTAGACCTCGTGGACCCCATCCTGTTGATATGCCAAACCACCGCTGCGTTGTACGACCGGATCATGAGGGAAGTTGCTCTAAGACATCCTGCCAGTGACTGATTGCAAGCATCACCGCCCTGAACTCCAGAACGTTGATGTGACAGGCGCGATCAATGGGAGACCACCGCCCTGCCACTTGTTGATTAAGAAGAAGAGCTCCCCACCCGTGTAGAGACGCGTCCACATACAGGTGGTAAGACGGAACAAACGGCCCTAAACAAACTCCGTCGCAAACATTCAATTCTTCCATCCACCACAGGAGATGGGGATGGAGCTGCAGAGGTAAAGTGATCAAGGCAACAGGATCTCCCACTCTGATGTAAGGCGCCAGGAAAGAACTGTAAGGACGAGTTATAGTTGACCCCTGGGGGACAATAAAATCCCACTGTAAGATATTAAATGCAGTCAAATGATTCACCAATCTGCACACATGTCTACTCCACCCTTACTGTGCCTGCCATGCTTAAACTATGCCTGCCTTTAAATGAAAACAAAGAAATCCATGTAACAAATAAACTTACCTCGACTAATGAATGGGCCAGCCTGAAGACGACGCTGTGACAACTCTGCAGCTGTTTGGCAGGTATCCACGTGTTATTCATGCAACATTGCCTTAGTGCGTTTATAGTCTGGGCATAGTCTGTTACATGACATAGTTTTATGAGTCACACAGCGAGTGTCGAGTATGATTATCAATGGCATGCCCCATGTAACAGTGTTATCGCCATTGCCGAAAACTTTGTTTGTCACCGGAAGTACTAAACAACGTAATGTCTCGCGAAATGCCGTGACCTACTTACGGGCTCTATAGAATCTACTATCTAAATATGACGCTTTGTAACCTATCGGGCTTACACGAAAAAAATGGCTAGCTACGCACCTGCCTTCCTCTTCTACCCTCACTTTGAAGTCCAATTGTGGCAGACTCAAATATATATATATGTACATAGGTTTTAGATAGGAAGATTATATTAAGTATCAAGGTGGATGGCATTGTTTCCACTTAATGACTTACTCTATTAAACAATAAGAACACCTGTAAGAATCTTAGTTATGTTTTATACTTTATTTTACTCTTAGTCCATAGCTCTGCATAGTAAGCCTTGTAACTCTCAGTCTAACTTCCACTAATTGTCACACTGCATGCTTTCAACACTCTTTGCTCCAGCTCTCAGTCATTTCTATTGTTTTACTGATAGGCCAAGCTGGCCACAGCTTAACTACAATGTTCAGATTTTAAACTCAGATGCTGTCTTGTACTGTTGAAGGAGAGATATAGCCAGGGTCAGGGGAATTTTATGACGATTTAAGGTTGGTTCATATTGTATAAAATGTTGTATATATGGACAGTTTCTTGTTTACTATAATTAGAAATATAATGTATTGTGGCATGTAAGTCAGACTTGGTTTACTTGAAATATAATATATTTTATAAATATGTATAGTTGAACATGAACTATCAGGTCACTGTGTTATTGTGAGTATATGTATTGTTTATGTATTGAACGTAATCCTAAACGTATATCAACTAAATATTAGACAACTTATAAAAGTAATTACTAGTCCGCTTGAATGCATGACCATATGTTTGATATGTGTGATTGATTGACACATATATGTAATATTACATGTCATTTCATTTAATATACTTTCTTATATGTTCTTTCAGGCTGTTTAATAAATAGACCAGTAATAAACGTATCGGCCTCACAACTCACAGCCGTTTGTATTCTGTAATGGACGCAAACAAGGCGCTGTTATACAATAAACATTTAAATATATCATGCACACAAATATACTTCACAGTTTTGAATTCTGCGGGAAATTCGGAAAGACTTCCGCCCGTAACCCCCGTATTTTTTTTAATCATTATTGTAGGATTGACGCCCTACAAGCGTATAACAGGTATGGGGGATTTCTGGACTTGCTGCAGGCCCGTGTTTTGGGGATCACAGACAAGCAAAGCGTTGGTGTAGTTCGCCATCTTTTATTCTCTCACTCACGTCCAAACCTACCCACAAAGTCGTGACGTCACGCTTTATGACGTCATCCATGCGACGAGACAACTACTGTAAACAAACCTTGGGGTCGAATATATGACATAGGGGCCGCTGTAAGAAAATTGGCAACAATTTAATTTTGACTGACTCCAAAGTTTGTGAACACTGATGTTGCTTCCTAAACTAATGCTTATGGCTGTGACAATGTATTACTATAGTGAAACTTTAAGTATGCACAGAAACAGGAACTGGTAAACTGGCTAATAATTCAACACACACATTCATGTCCTCTAACACAAATATTCAGACTATGGTCTAGCACTGATACAAGGGAGACTACTCGTTAAGACCCATGTCTTGGAGTGAGACTACTCAGTAACACCCTTGTAATGGAGGAACTGATTTTACTGAAAAGATTATGAAATAACTTTAACAGGTATGACATCTTTTGGAACAGATGAAGATAAGTATAATGGTAAACATTAAAAATGGACAATTAAAAACCAAACAAATGTAGGCCAAATGTTTGAATTACTGCCTAGAATATGGGTAAACTGACAGGCATTACACATGCTGAGTGTAACTGAACAATTACAGATAATATCACTGGCCCAAAAGTAATGAGGTTTACAAATATCACCCATGCCGAGTGTAACTGCTCACAGCAGAAATCTAACATTAATACTTGCGGAAAGTAATAAAAACTGATCTGGTACATTACTTGCTGATTGTAATACAACAAATAGTTTGTTTTGTATGTTTCGATGGCAGCAAAGACATTGTATGATACCTGCAATAACTGCAACTTGACAAAGGGGGTGAAAATAACAAACAAAAACAGACTACAACTTCAAATTGATGAGTGTGAAACTATGTACATTATGTTAGTCTTAGACTCTTATGCATGATGGCACCAATATACTTGTGACAAGTGTCCTGATAACATACTGTACTACATAACTACATCATAGTATGGTCCCACAACATAATGCCATAACCAATACATATATTACAATGGCAAAAGTAGATAGCAGTGTAACCCTACACTTACTGACTTTGTTCTATCTGATTTTACAGTCAAACCCATTCACACAATGGAACTATTTAACTAAAATAGGACCTACTAACATACTCCATACATACACACTTGTACAAGCAGAATAGGATGTTCCAAACACAATATATCACATGTACTACTACCTCATAGAACTGGGTTAAATTTCTATCATGTATAAAGGACATCTTCAGAGTTACTAAGATCAAGTAAGTTAAGGACTGTCAGTACAAGTAGGAAAACCATCTACATTGTGATGTGACACTAACATGGGTGTTAAAAATATAACATGAGTAACATTCATACAGATAACCTGAAACATGAAAAGAATACCATTCTTACAGATTAGGAACACCTTTCCATTTGACTGAACTATAATACTGATTTTGTTTTAACTGTGAATAGAACTGAACTTGTTAACAAGTGGTGCAGATTATTTCATTTAGCTAATATTTAACTGAATATTTCAGCAATGTCTCTGGCTTTAGTTGCTGGATGTACCACATCAAATCACAGGAGGTGGTCTCTCAGTGATGGACTTTAAGGCTTTAGCATTTAGGTTTGCTTTAGAAACCCAAATGGACTGGTTGGCTGGTTCTCCAACTAAATGCACTAAATACTGCTTCTGATTGTTTACAAGTCTCTGACCCAAAACCCTTTTGACTTTAAGGTAGCCTTTACTGTCACTATCCACAGTACTAAAGCCACTAATTTCTAGAGGGTCAACATGATTAGAGTCTCTGTATCTCGACGGTTTTCGCCTGACATGAATGGGACGAACAGCTTCAAGACCTTATCCTTATCTGTGGTCTGGATCTGGTTTGAATCCATTCTTGATACAGGCTTGGTGACTACTCCATCAAGAAAGTATGGTGATGGATTAGGTTCTCGAACATAGGCCATCTTCAGTCGGTTGATATGAACAACTAGTGATTGCTTATGCTTTTTCTGTGGATCACGAATGTTCACTAAATGTGGGCTTGATATACTATCAACCACATATGGTCCAGAGAACCGATCTTGAATTTTCCTGCCAGAACCAATAGGGTCTTTAGATAAGTACACATAGTCACCTGGTAAAAGTTTTAATGGGTTTTCCTTATTTCTGGTGAGTTCTACCATTTTCTCTTTTGCTGCAGTAATGTTTGTTTTCACATTATCTCTGATTTCATCAAGAGTTTTCAGAAGTTTCTTGATGTAGACATGTGAATCTACAGGCACAGAATCGAAGTTTGTGTTCTTGGGAAAACACAGTGGGAAATTTGGTCTGCTTCCAAACATAATTTCATGAGGTGAGTACTTTAAAGATGAGTTTACACTGTTGTTCATTGAGAAGGTTACAGCTGGCAGAAACTCTTCCCAATTTCTTTTGTTGTTTTTGACATAGGGGGTCAATCTTTCAGCAAGAGTTCTGTGACTTCTCTCAACTGCACCAAGACAATGATGAGTAAAGCTTGGAGTAAACTGCTGAGGTACACACAGAAGTCTAACAACTTCCTTAGTTACTCTGGATATGAACTCACTACCTTGGTCAGAGACCAGAGTATCACACACACCATATCTAGTAAACAACTGGAACAGAGCACTTGCTACAGTCAGGGCATCCTTGTTGGCCATCGGTATGGTAACTACAAACTTGCTGAACATGTCTATGGCTGTAAACACATAAGTATTTCCCAGAGGTGTAAGGGGAAGTGATCCATATAAATCAACCTCCAAAACCTGGAAAGGAGCACTTGGAGTAGGAAGTGGGACAACACCAGCATGTGTTGGCACCTTTGTTGTTTTACGAGCTTGACAAGCATGGCAGGACTTAACATAATCTGCAACAATCTGGCCAAGTCTCTTGAAATAATACTTGTCTCTCAGTCGATCCACTGTGTCAACAATACCTCCATGGCCTGCTAATGGAGAGTCATGGTGTAGTTCAACAACAGGTTTCTGAAGAATTCTTGGAATAACAAGCTGGTAGTGTTGGGGATTTCTTTTTCTCTTACTCTTTGCTGTCTGAGAGTGGAATAGAAGATTAGAGATCATGCTGTAGTCTGCAACTTCTAGCAGCAGCTTACGGGCTTGTTTCTGGGAGTCAGGCAACAATCCCTCTGTTAGATGTCTGATAATTGGCTTCAAATCTGGGTCATTAGCTTGTAGTTCAGCTAATGTATTTTCAGTGATTAGTCCATGATCAAACAGTTCAATACTTTTTGTAAGAAGTTCATCAACATTCCTGACACAAGTAGATGACTCTTCAGTCTCAGTCTGGGTAGAGATTTCAAATGACACAAAAGATGTTGATACATTGATACAAGTGTTGCTGTCCTTATCTAAAACTATATCACTATCTGGGCATCTTTGATCATCAGAGCTGGACTGGTCACTCTCTATGGTGCTGGAAGGTTTGTTTATCAACTCATAGGAATTAAACCCACTTCTACGCTCAACCACTGCAGCACTGCTGTCTACAGATTTTGTGAAATTTTCCTCACCATTTCCATCACTCTCAACAGACTTGGGTTTAGTACACTTTACCAATCTCCTAAGCATTGATTTCTTGTATCTTGTGTGTGTTATGGGAACTTTGATATAGTCAAGGTCCTCAGTATCTGCATCATACTCGTCCTGTGAATGAACCAATGGTAGAAGTTTGCTGATGGAGGGTGCTGTTACATGATTCACTTCTGGATGCTGTAGTAAATCCCGTAAATCCTGTCCATCTGGAAATGTAATTTTTCCAGCATCATCTGGTATATATGGAAAATAAGGATCTGATTCTTCTGGGCTTGAGTGAAATGTGCTGTCAGCATCATTTGGAAAACATCTTGAAAGAGCATCAGGTACCACCATCTGCTGAGCTGGTTTATACTCAATGTCAAAGCTGAACTGCTGTAGAATGGCAAGCCATCGTTAGGTATAATGGCTCCCTTCATCTGTTTCTGAAACAATGGCTTCAGGGCCTGGTGATCACATTCAACCTTAAATCTTCTACCTCTGAGATATGAGGCACAATCAAGGATGCTGGTGACAAGTCCAAGAAGTTCTAGTTTGGTGGGTCCATAAGCACTCTGCCATGGGGACAAAGCTTTAGAACCAAAACGCACTGTTTTAACTCTTTCTTTCTCTGAAGTGTCACTTTGAAATTCATTAGCTGGATGAATCTGATACAACATGTAGCCTATACCCTTACTAGAGGTATCCACAGCAAGTTGAAATGGCAAGTCAAACCTTGGAAAGGCAAGAGCTGGTGATTTCAAGAGTGATTGCTTAATGTCATCAGCGCTCTTTGGTGCAGAGCAGTCCATTCAAACTTAACATTCTTCTTCATGAGTTTGTTAAGTGGAGCAGCCAAGATACCGTATTTAGGAATGAATTTCCTGAACCAGTTGAATAGGCCAAGAGCACTCCTCACTTCGCTAGCATTTCTGCGAACAGGATAGTTTTCTACAGCTTTCAGTCTTTCTGGGGGTGGACAGATCCCATCCTTAGATATCTCGTGACCTAGGTATATACATTTGTGCTGAGCAAAAGTACACTTTTTTGGTCCAAGTTTAAGTCCTGCTGATCGGAAACGGTTGAAGACTTCTTTCAGATCAGATATATGACTATCAAAAGTATCAGAGTAGATGACAGCATCATCAAGATAACACAGTACAGACTTAAAGGTTAAACCTCTCAAAACTTTGTCCATAAGTAACTGGAAACTGTTTGGGGCAGTAGAAAGTCCCATTGGTAACCTTTGGAAGTGATATGTACCAAAACAAGTACTGAAGGCTGTGTATTTTTCAGAGTCAGGAGAAATCTTCATCTGAAAGAATCCATATGACATATCCAAGGTAGTTATGAAATTTGGTTTCCGTTCTGTAAATGATTCAGTCAGTTCTTGAAGATCTAGAATGGAGTACCAGAAATCTTGTGTCTGAGAATTCAAGTAGCGGAAGTCACAACAAAATCTGTAGAGCTAAACTCGCTTCCTTTGTGCCCGGAACAAGTCCTTTCTTAGATTTGTTCCTCTTAGTTACTAACACTATAGGACTGGTAAAAGGAAGATCTTGTGTTTCATCCACAAATCTTATAATACCTTGCTGAACTAGTTCATCTAGCTGATGTCTCAGCACTTCTCTCTTGTCTGGAGGTAAGCGGTAAGGCCGCTGATGCTTTGGAACATAATCAGGTTTTAAGTGAATTTTATGTTCAACTAAGTGAGTCAATCCCAAAGAAGAATTCCTAGGTGTCACAAAGATGTCCTGGCAATCGTATAGGCATTCTGCAAGCTGTTTTGTCTGTCCATCAGCAAGATCCTTGGGCAGCTCAAAATTTGAGATAAAGTTATCAAGCTCAGATAAGGAACTCCCCTTTGGCTGTATTTGTTCATTGATGTCCGTATTTGTCTGCTCTGGTGGGCTGCATAAAGTAGCATGTGCACAAGAAGGGCTCTCCTCTTCAGTAGATTTGATCTCAATAGTACTGTCAAAAGCTGTAAATAGTGCTAGAATCTGACCTTTGTCAACGGAAATAGCACTATCTGTGACATTAATCAACTTCACTGGTACCTTGTGGTTCAAAGGACAACAAACAACTGTCTTTGCGACTAGGAGGTCCTTTCCTAAAATAGTTTTTGTTGGTGTGCATATGCCCTGTACACCATAACCAATAGTAGCAGGTAATTTACCATGGGTCACAATTTCTGAGTTTGCTGGAGCTGTAAATGACTTTCTACATCTGATCTTGGCACTTGATTTCCTCACTTTGCATTGGCTGAAGTCAAGTACAATAACACATGAACAGTTACAAAATGTTTGCCATGAGGAGTTGAAATCTTCAATCTCGATGTCCCCAATACTTGAACTTTCTCGTTTCTGGCAAGAACTACTGATTCAAACCCAGCTGGGATTATTGGTTTCTTGTCACAATCTGAGATGAGATCATAACACTCCTTTGACACAATGTTAATATCACTTCCAGAGTCAAGCAAGGCTGACACTTCAAGGGAGGAAAAATGAACAGGCATAAACATGAAAGTCTTACGGATGGGTTCATTTTCTTCTGCATCGCTGTCACATTGCTCTGACTGAGAAGAACAGCAATTGTCTTTTTCTGAACTGTTGGCTGATTCTTGGACAATACACTTATCTGAATTCTGACTGTTGCTAGTTGTAAACAAAATAGAGTCTGATTGAACATGATTGGAATTGGCGCTTTCGCAGATCCCAAGGGTGCGCGCCTTAGTTGCTTCCTTGTGTCTAGTTTCGCTGTCCCATGTCTTTGACAGTCACAAGCCTGCACTTCCTTGCTGAGTGACCATTTTGGTGACAAACCTGGCAAGAGAGATCCGATCGTCCCCTGAGATTGTCTGGTGAGTAAGGGGCGGTGGGGTAGCCTAGTGGTTAAAGCGTTGGCTCGTCACTCCGAAGACCCGGGTTCGATTCTCCACATGGGCACAATGTGTTAAGCCCATTTCTGGTGTCCCCCGCCGTGATATTGCTGGAATATTGCTAAAAGCGGCGTAAAACTTAACTCAGTCAGTCAGTCAGTCAGTCTGGTGAGTTACACTGTGATTTAGTGTGGCCAGTTCCTTGACACTTGAAACAGCTATCAGTGCTGGGTGTCTGATTTGTTAATCCAGCTCTTGGTCCCTGATATCTATGACTTGGCCGAAAGTGAAGAGCTGAGTTTGGTTGTAATTGTGTACTAACTTGAAGTTCATGTACAGTCTGAGACAGCTTCTGTATTTCTTCCCTTAGTGTATCCATTTCTGATCTTCCAACTGAAGCAACATATGGTAGGGTTGGCTGAAAAACCATAGCCTGAGTGCTATCACCTGCATTGGCTGGATGTTTATTGAGGCTAGTTGGATACTGTGGGAAGATTGTTGTATCAGAACGGTAACCATAAATCTCTCCCATTTTGGCTGAATTAAGGGCTGCCTGGTCACTGATAGGGTGTCCAGCTCGTACATAGAAAGCCAATCTTTCTGGTAGGCCTCAACAAATTTAGCCAATATGTCCCTGTTAGACTTGTTTAATCTCCTTCCCTTTTCAAGAATTTCTGAATGGAAAACTTCTATAGGCTGACCTTCTCTTAATTTCATGTTTGCAAAAAGTTCGGCCTCGGCAATGATAGCAGGGTTGTCATTCATGTCAAAATCAATATACTTGGTATGAAAGGCAGAACAAACATTGTACCAGTTGAATCTGCGTGTTTGTGGTAGGGACATAAACAATGTGGCAGCAGGACCGTCGAAATGGAGTTGAAATGCAGCAACCTTACGTGCATCATTAGCTGGCCCCTGAAGTTGAGCCAAAGTAGTGTAAGCTTCAAAGTCATTCAGATACTTTTCCCCATCCTCAGAAGATAGACCAGTAAATTCCCTCAACTGATAATGTTATACTCAACTGCCATTTTGATATCCTGATAGAAATCTTGCTAACAGCAAAATTTTGGATTACATCTGAGTTCTTTTCTGTCGGATATCTACACAAGACCATACGATTGAACAGGATGCATGTGGTACAAGGCGAGCTGCGAGTTGTGGTGACCATAGGATGTTAAATCTCCGTTACAGATATTCTAACAAAGGTTCACAGCTGTATTTTGCCGTCGTATTTTGCAGCCGATTTAGGGTCCAAGTAGATCTATTAATTCAGTTCTTGAAACTGGGTAGTTTTCCAGATGTAAGAAAGCAGTGACGGTAGACTTGAGACATTTTGTATCACGAATCCAAATCGCTGAAGATTTGGTCGAACCAGTCATAGGATAGAGACACGCCGAATGCCAAGGACAATCAAGGTCACGGTATAATGACAAGAATATTCATATTTGAAACGACTTTTCCCGAGTGTAAGGTTTACCTTTGCATCTCCACCATGTAGGATTGACGCCCTACAAGCGTATAACAGGTATGGAGGATTTCTGGCCTTGCTGCACGCCCGTGTTTTGGGGATCACAGACAAGCAAAGCGTTGGTGTAGTTCGCCATCTTTTATTCTCTCACTCACGCCCAAACCTACCCACAAAGTCGTGACGTCACGCTTTATGACGTCACCCATGCGACGAGACAACTACTGTAAACAAACCTTGGGGTCGAATATATGACATTATATGCCAAAGAAGATACGCCTATGTTTTTCATAAACAACCTATACCTAGCCCTAAAATCTAACCCCAAACCTAACCCTAAACCCTCGAAATAATCCTAATAAATAGCATACATTTCAAGCGGGTGTTACGGGAGGAACTCTTACCGGAAATTCTTGATACCATCCACTATTATCTCAGACAAAGCTAAAGTGCTAACACAAATTCCATCCATTTTAGCGGGATAGGGGAGTAAATTGACCTAGGGCTTCTGCAAATGATAATGCCCTGGGAAAAACAGCGTCACACCAATAGTGTAGGGATACATTCAAAGGTATTGGTGAATCGGTTTCCACGACCGAAGATGCTGATTATACGCACTCCCCTACCCAGAGTTTCATGCGGCCAGCCAGCATAGTACCTCTGCCACAGGCCAGAAAGGTGTGACGAATCGTCACCTCTTACACAGTCCATTCAATATAATGTACATATTTCGTAACTCTTATATCTTTGATGAGTCTACACATCTAATTAAACACCATTTAGTTTCACTGAGAAAATATCCTAAAACGTGTAACACTATTTCCATTTGTGTAGCGATCCTTTGTTTACATGGGTTGTACGGTTCCACGTGCTGTCATCGAAGCCTTATGGAGAGAGAGCAAACGATGCAGCCCCTTTGTTGAATAAATATGTATTGTCATAAATTAATACTTTAATGCCTTTTCAGGAATTTGTGTTACATCAGCAGAGCTACTGACACATTAGAGAGATACCAAACATATTTACATCATTCTTTGATATAGGTATCTTCACATTTGTTTAAGAGATATGGTACTTGGAATAAAGGATGTACGGGCTCTCTTAGTTTTCACAATTGCAACTTTGTAGCGGGGGCCTGAAGGGAGGAGGTTGTATTCCGAATTTAAGTAGTGAGTACGGTCAGATATAATTTTGACAGCTTCATTCACGATTTGCCGCTCATATATTGATGATAAACATTCAAATTTGACTCCAGCGATTTTACTTGCAGTGTTAACAATTTTGTCTATTTTAGATTTGAGATGAACTGAGAGAGACCCGTACCAACAATGGAAGGAAAATGTTAAAATACTCTGAATAAATGCTACATAAAAAGATGACATCACAGATGGGTTAACATTAAAAGATCTCAGTTTACGCATGAGATGAAGACGTTGTTGACACTTTTTGTATAGGGCTTCAGTGTTAGAGTTCAAGTTCAGCTTAGAGTCAATGAAGGTTCCCAGATACTTATACTCTGACACTGTCTCAACACATTCACCGTTGATTATCACGGGAAGCATTTCCATGGGTTTACTCCGAAAGTCAATTATCAGTTCCTTTGTTTTTGTGACATTTAAGAGTAAGTGGTTTTCTGCACACCAAGTCGTAAAATGATTAATGTCCTCTTTATACAGTTCTTCAAAATCAGTGTCGTTCAGTTTGCCGACAATTGTTGCATCATCTGCGAACTTTACAGTTGAACAGATTGAATTCGAGCTTGCACAATCATTAGTGTAGAGGGTGAAAAGAACAGGAGATATTACACAGCGTTGTGGTGCACCAGTGTTGGTGGTCCGTTTACTCGATACAGCCTCATTAACTTCACGTACTTCTGTCTGTCCACGAGAAAGTTTTCGGTCCACTTGATGAGGTATGAGGTGAACGCAGATGAAAAGTCAACGAAGAGGATCCTGATGTATAACTTAGGTGTCTCTAGATGTTTATAGACATTATTAAGGATTGACAGTGTGGCATCAACAACTCCTCTCCTTGACCTGTAGGCGAACTGAAGCGGATCCAGTATGTCGGCAACTTCCTGACGGAGATGTCTCAACAAGATGCGTTCCAGCGACTTCATTGCTATAGATGTGAGAGAAACTGGCCTGTAGTCGTTGAGTTCTTAAAGTTGTGTCTTTTTAGGAATTGGTACAATTTCTGATGTTTTCCAGACTGAAGGAATAACGTGTGTATTCACTGAGAATTGAAACAATCTAGTGAAAACTGTACACAGTTGAAGTCTGCACTCCTTCAACACAATGCTGTCACGGTTGTCAGGTCCTTTTGCTTTTCTGATGTTAATTCTGGAGAAGCTTTGAATGACGTCAGCTTCTGATATATGGATACAACTTTCACTATCCTGTACGACTTCACCAACTTGAGGTCTCTCATTGGAAAAGTCGTGACAATCAAAGCGGCTGTAGAAAGTTTTGAGGTCCTCAGCAAAGGTTTTATTATCCCCGGTGTTGGTTGTCTGTCGTCGCCTGCTCTTACCAATCATCGTGTTCACGCCTTGCAAGGCTTGTTGCAGATTGCTTTGCTGAAACTGTCTCTCAACTTTCTCTTTGTACGCTAGTTTACACTCACGAGCTTTGAGATTGATGTCCTTCTGTATGCATTTGAGTTTTATTTTATCTTTCTTCATGAATGCTCGTTTCTTTTCGTTTAATAAAGATTTCATTTCTTTTGTGATCCAGGGCTTGTTGTTTGGGAAAATTCTGTTTTCTTTTACTGGTATTATGTTGTTGACACAAAGGATGTTATGCTAAGTAATCACTGCGCCGGAGTGAGGATTATACGGTCGGAAATTTATAGCATTGACCAATCAGAACTCGTGTTACATACTAAGTAGAATTAGAATTCACAGTATACACAAACGACATGCACCAAAACATGTTGACTTTATGGCAGCTATGGCAGTTAATAGTCATTCTTTCGGAGACACTTACACCTTACTGTCATAATGAGTTTATGTATATTTATTCATCGTTAACATAATTATGGTGTCCTATAACTGCCATCGCGTGGCGTGTGAAAAACGAACGACGTCGCATAAAAAAGACGACATCTTGGGCAACGTCGCTTTGTAAAATATTTTGTTCTAATTTATGGCTACAAAAATAATGGGCAATGTCGTGGGCAACGTCTCACTATAACGAGGGGTTAGTGACAGAACACGGGATGGCCTTAAAACTCGGGCCAGGCCGGGCCAGCTGTATTGTTGGCTTATAAATCCATAAATCGCTTAACCATTGGATGCCGAGTGTTTTTTTTTCAGGCGCACATTTTCATACGGTTTGAGAAGTAAGTTGTGCGGGAATTGCGCTCGGGTGGTCCTGGATCTGTGTACAGCTATAAAATTACACAAAAATGTAGAATAATAAATTTCCTATCCGTTGGCATAAATATAAGTGCAAATACCTCTGCGGTTTGAGAAATAAACACTGCTAAATGTTGTCAAAACTTTTGTTATGGCGTTAAAAAACAGTAATTTTTTCGTTGCTTTTTATCGTGCACTGACAAAAGCACTGTGCTACGATATTTTTAATTTGGCACCTTTGCGGAAAGTGTGAGCAAACAAATACAGCCTGATATCTGAATGACATAAATATATATGAAATGGGTTTGTGTGCTTTTGCATAACTTTATACGCTCAATTTTAAAATTGACTCGCAATAAATGTCGAAAATGGATTTTCTTCTATGAAGTCAAACGACGACAGAAAGGTCATACACGTATAAAGATAAGGGGACATAACTCCGCTATGCTTAACACTGGGTCAATGTAACTCAGATCACTTGGACAGAATTTGCTGTGGACTCGGACGCTATATTTTCGTTATGGTTTGTTCACTGTCGACCAAACTATTCCAATACAAAGTTCCCCAATGTGAGGGATAGTTCGCACAATTTATGAGAAAAGATGACAATGTACTACATGAGAAAGCACGTAATAGCGATTTGGATGGCCCTATTCTATATGTAAAATAGTCTTTAGATTCACATATTCTCCTGTTTGTGTAGATGCATTTTGACTAAGTTTGCATCATTATTAACAGAGTACAAGCCATATCTTCAAATGTAATGAAATTACTGAAAAGATTACAACATTGTAGTTGACATCATTGCTTGTTTTATGTATTTTGCGACGTCGGAAAAAGACGACATTGGTATGCTGATTAGTATATATCTATATCTATGTATAAAAGATCCCGGCTTCTATGTCAGAATTTAACATTCTTTAGACAAAACATATAATGACTGATTATACAATTTAAATAGTGTCCTGAATATATCAACAGTTTGACTGTGTATCTTATTCTGTCAAAAGTGAGCCGCATTCATGTACCATCCTGCCATACAGAAGAAAGTTAAAAAGGTTAAACTGAAAGAAAGATATGTGATTTCCTAATAACTTCTACATGAGGAATATAACATTCCAGTTGACGAAAACTATCTATTTACGGCCAATAAACATATTATACACACATTTTATTTTATTCTTGTAATTCTTGACAAAAGCATTAATAACATGCAAATAATTGGTATTACAGTGTTGTTTTTACAGGAATATTATTTTCGCTCTTATCTGTTTACTAATGAAACATTTATCAGAAATATCACTATATAATATATGAAGAATATAATATCGAAGTTGACAAAAACTATGCATTTATGGCATATAATTAACCTATTTAAATAAATTTGACTCCCCCCCCGTCAATTTGACCAAATTTGCTGGGCATTTTGTAGCTGGGGCGATTTGACTGGCACCAATGGAGATTCTGGACGCTGGATCTCCATTGCACATTCCTCCTAATACGACAACTGCGGCATGGCATCTGGGAAGAGGATTTTTAAAGCAGAAATCTTATCCACAAAAGTGTATTCGAAGCACTGAGATTCAAAGCTTCCTCTGCCAGCCCCAACAACCCCAACTCTGACTCCTCCAGAACGCCCTGATCTGCTTTGTCGTAAGATGAGATAGAGTA